ACTTAATCACAATAAAAAATTTTATTAAAAAAAAAAGTATCTGCCAGGCTCCCGTGGCTCACACCTGTAATCCTACCTACTCAGGAGGCTTAGATTTGAGGATTGCTGTTCAAAGCCAGCCTGGGCAGAAAAGTCTGTGAGACTCTTATCTCTAATTAACCATCAGAAAAATGGAAGTGGAGCTGTGGCTCAAGCAGTAGAGTGCTCTCCTTGAGCTGAAAAGGGACAGCACCCAAGCTTAAGAGTTCAAGCCCCCTGACCAACAAAACAAAATTATCTTTGTTAGTCATAATGGTTCCCCCTTAGATGACATCTGACAGTTCATGCAACAAGGTAATACATGGGAAGCCTTACTGATCCTAACAAGATGACAGGATCGGTAACATCAGCAGGACCAACCACATGAATAGCAGACTGGGATTTAGCGCACCATCATATCAACCTGGTCTTAGCCTGGTCTCTACCATTCTATTTATATGAAATGCTTAGAAGAGGCAAATCCATAGAAAAAGGAAGTAGGGTGGTTCCGTGGCTAGGCGAAGGACAGAATGAGGAAGACTACTATGGAGAATGGACTTCTTTTGATGATTACAATGTTTGAAAATTACAGCTGATGGCTGCAAAAGTCTGTGTAAATATTCATAACCACTGGCTGATACCTTCTTTTAAAAAGCCAATTTTGGAGTCAGTGTTATAACTCCAGTGGTAGAGTATTTCCTACCATTCATGAGACTCTGGGAACCATCCCCCAAACTACAAATTATTATTTATACTATTATTTTAACATAATAAAAATAAAAAGTTGTACAGGATGGGAATTATATCTCAATAGCTATAGAAATAGTTATAAACACATATGTACACACACATATTTATGTAATTATAAGCTATTTTCAATGTTCTATTTAACAATAGAACAAAATGTCTCATTATTCCTCACAATTTTTAAAATTAAAGACTTAACCAATAAAATTTGCTGTTAGTTATGATACATACAAGTCTTACAAATATTTTCCTTATAGGAGAGCTGCCTAGGAGCCTGTAAACCAACTGCTTGTGGCACCTGAAAAAGAGTAATGCTCAAAAGATTTTACTCAATAATGTTTGATAGGAAATATACTCATTACCTTGCTTATGTAACTGTAACAGTATTTTTACAATAAAAAATATTTTTTCAAAAATTTACTACCTTGCCCATGTAATTGTAACCACTCTATACAGTATGTTCACAATAAAAAATAAAAATTAAAAAAAAAAAAAAGGGTTGGGAAGGTGGCTCAGTGGTAGAGCGCATGCCTTGCATGCCAGAGGCCCTGGGTTCGATTCCTCAGCACCACATAAGCGAAAAGAAAAAAGCCGGAAGTGGCGCTGTAGCTCAAGTGGTAGAGTGCTAGCCTTGAGCTGAAGAGCTGAGGGACAGCGCCCAGGCCCCAAGTTCAGGCCTCATGACCGAACCCCCCCCCCCCCCCAAAAAAAAAAAAAAGAAATTAGACAAAACACAAGTAACAAAACACAAATACAAAGAAAGCTCCTTTTGGATGAGAATGTTGAAAAGGGCAACATTCAACATTGATCAAAATGCACTATATTCATAAACTGTTCTGTTGAAGCTAGAAAAACAAGAAAAAATGGGACCTAAAGCTACTAGACGAAGCCAGATAACCAAATTGAGAGCAGAGATTAACCAATTAGAAAATCAGAAAACCATAACCAAAATAAACCAAACAAAAAGCTGGTTCTTTGAAAAAATAAACAAAATTGATGGCCCGTTGGCAAGATTAATTAAAAAAAGAAGAGAGGAAACCCATATTAATAGGATTAGGGATGCCACGGGAAACATCACAACACGTACCCAAGATATCCAAACAATTCTAACAGACTACTTTCAAAAGCTGTACTCTCTAAAGGAAGAAAATCTGGCGGAAATGGATGCATTTTTAGAGAAATACAAGTTACCCAAACTGAGCAAAGAAGAAGTTAACCAATTAAATAAGCCAATATCCTATAATGAGATACAGGAAGCTATCAAAAGTCTTCCAACAAAAAAAAGCCCAGGACCAGATGGATTCACAGCAGAATTCTATAAGACCTTTAAAGAAGAACTAATACCCATACTCCTCAAGCTCTTCAGAGAAACAGAGAAGGAGGGAGCTATCCCAAACTCATTCTACGAAGCCAATATCACACTCATCCCCAAACCAGGCAAAGACCCAACCAAAAAGGAGAAATACAGGCCAATCTCCTTGATGAACACAGATGCAAAGATCCTTAACAAGATTCTAGCTAACAGAATCCAGAAACACATAAAAAAAATAATACACTATGATCAGGTAGGCTTCATCCCAGAGACACAGGGATGGTTTAACATACGTAAGTCAATAAATGTAATCCAGCATATCAACAGAGCCAAGGTCAAGAATCACATGATTATCGCCACAGATGCAGAAAAGGCCTTTGATAAAATTCAACATTCATTCATGCTAAAAGCTCTGGAGAAAATAGGAATAGAAGGAACATTTCTAAAAACAATAAAAGCCATTTATGACAGACCAATAGCCAATATTATACTTAATGGGGAAAAGCTACAACCAATCCTCCTAAAAACAGGAACAAGGCAAGGATGTCCACTGTCTCCACTCCTCTTCAACATAGTCCTAGAACCCTTAGCCAGGGCAATAAGGCAAGAAAAAGACATTAAAGGGATCCGCATAGGGAAAGAAGAAGTGAAACTATCCCTTTTTGAAGACGACATGATACTATACCTCCACGATCCCAAAAACTCCATCCCCAAACTTTTAGAAATCATAAGTCACTTCGGCAAAATAGCAGGATACAAAATAAACCCACAAAAATCAGTTGCCTTCCTATACACTGATAACGCACAGGAAGAGAGGGAAATAAAGGGAGCAACCCCATTCACAATAACCTCCCAAAAAATAAAATATTTAGGAATTAACCTAACCAAAGATGTAAAAGAACTATTTAATGAGAACTATAAAAAGTTAAAGAAAGAAATTGCAGAAGACACTAGGAAATGGAAAGACCTCCCATGCTCCTGGATAGGCCGACTTAATATAGTAAAGATGGTGATACTTCCAAAACTAATATACAAATTCAATGCAATTCCTATTAAAATCCCAATGACGTACATCACTGAAATACAGAAAACAGTCCAAAAATTTATATGGAACAACAAAAGACCTAGAATAGCCAAAACAATTCTAGGGGATAAAGACAATATGGGAGGGCTATCCATGCCGAACTTCAAACTCTACTACAGAGCTATAATCACAAAGACAGCATGGTACTGGCACAAAAACAGACCCGAAGACCAATGGAACAGAATAGAAGATCCAGATATAAATCCACAGGCCTACAGCCAGCTGATATTCGACAAAGGAGCCAAAGACATACAATGGAAGAAACACAGCCTCTTCAACCGCTGGTGCTGGGAAAACTGGGCAGCCACATGCAGAAAACTAAAAGTGGACCCCAGCCTATCACCATGCACCAACATCAACTCAAAATGGATTAAAGACCTTAACATTAAACCTGAATCTCTGAAACTACTGCAGGACAGAGTAGGAGAGACACTTGAACTAATAGGCACAGGAAGGAACTTCCTGAACAGAGTCCCAGGGTCACAACAAGTTGGAGAGAGACTCGACAAATGGGACTACCTTAAAATAAAAAGCTTCTGCACAGCTAAATCTATAGCAACTAAGCTAGAAAGACAACCAACTAATTGGGAAAAAATATTTACCAGCAATATATCAGACAAGGGGTTAACATCCTGTATATACAGGGAACTCAAGAAACTAATCCCTCCCAAACCTAACAAACCAATTACTAAATGGGCAAGGGAACTAAAGAGGGACTTCTCAAATGAAGAAATAAAAATGGCAAAGAAACACATGAGGAAATGTTCATCATCCCTGGTGGTGAAGGAAATGCAAATAAAGACAACCCTGAGATACCACCTTACCCCAGTCAGAATGTCCCACATCCACAAATCAGCCAACGACAAATGCTGGAGGGGATGTGGAGAAAGAGGAACCCTATTACACTGCTGGTGGGAATGTACACTTATACAACCACTTTGGAAAGCAGTCTGGAGGGTCCTTAGAAAGCTAAAGATTGACCTCCCTTACGACCCAGTCATACCACTTCTAGGCATCTACCCTGAACAACAGGAACCAATATACAAGGACACGTGCACCTCCATGTTTATTGCAGCACTGTTCGCAATAGCTAGGATATGGAAACAACCTAGGTGCCCCACCACAGATGAATGGATCCAAAAATTGTGGTATCTATACACAATGGAATATTATGCAGCCATTAGAAATGACAAAATAATGGCATTTGCAGGGAAATGGATGGAGCTAGAAGGAATCATGTTGAGCGAGGTAAGCCAAGAACGAAGAGACAAACGGTACATGGTCTCCCTCATAAGTGGATGCTAAATCCAAAAGGCTAGGTGATACGACAAAACTAACAGGACTTAAGAAACAAAGAACTCCCGCTCATCTGGTTGAACCACTACTAAATATCCTCATGCTGCTGATCACAAATATGGTATATAACATGTGAACACTGTTATATATTACAGACTGTGGTAGACAATTTGCTCCAGGGAAGTTAGAATGAACTTGTGACTTTGAAATTATGTAATCATTTAATCACAATCAAAAAAAAAAAAAAAAAGAACCTCGGGGAAGGGAGGGAGGGAGGGGATGGTAGGGGAAAACAATGGAGGGGGTAACAATGTTCAAGAGGAAGTGTACTCATAACCTCACTCATGTAACTGTAACCCTCTGTATAGTAGCTTTACAATAAAAAAAAAAAAAAAAAACTGTTCTGTTGAATGCTAACTCCTTTGTACAATTACTTAAAAATAATAAATATATTCAAAAAAGAAAAAAATTACTACCTACGTCAGAAGCTACAAAAATAAAAGCAAACTACTCTTTCAAAGTCAACCTGGGAATGCTACTCACCAAGTATACTGCTCTTTGGAAGAAAGTAGTAGTTTCCAAAATTTTGTGCATTGTAATCGTTTCCAATTCATCAGGATCTAGCTGTTCCTTTTCAAAGGGCATTCCATTGAAGAGAATCACAGGCAGTGGACCGACACCAGTTTGCTCATAGTAGCCTTTTGCTTCCTAGAACACAGTAAAACACAAAAACAGAACATTTTTGCCCCTTCTGATAGAAGTGGAACAAAGTGTGTTTTTGTTTACATGCCTTACAACAACAACAATAAAAATACCTTAACGAAGAAATACCTAAAGATACTTCTTTTTCAGAAAGAGGTATCATAGTTAGTGGAAATCCAAGATTGAATTAGGGAATTTAAACTTTAAATAAGGGAATAGATATGTATTAAACAAAATACACATATTATGGTCAGCACTGTACAACAGAACAGCATGTTGAACTGATAAGTGGCTCTCTAAAAAACTCACTTATTTTTGTTCTTCTTAGCTACATACAGGAATCAGTTGTATTAGCTCCTAAGGCAAGAATCGTAACACAAATACAATTGTTTTCATTAAATAACTTAATATTATGAAAATGAAAAAACTATGAGTATTAAAAGGTTGTTCTGACTACAAGAATGAATTGGATGACTGAAAAACACTAAAATGTTAAACTGAGTATAAGACAGACATCTATAGAAGAATGAGAGGGTACTGAGGATGTTGTTCAGGAACAGAGCAGGTGCTTAATATGCTTTAAATGAATTAAAAGAAATTTTTCTTCATTCTTGTCCTAATATATATTTTCAATAAATTGATCAATTTGTTCTTCCTTGCAATAATGGTTTCTTACTATATTAAATGTCTCAAAAGAAAAAAACTAAATACACAAAAATTAATTTCCAGCCAGATGCTGGCTCACACCTGTAATCCTAACTCTTCAGGAGGCTGAGATCTGTGGATTGTGGTTCAGAGGGAGTCCAGACAGAAAACTCCATGAGATGCCTACCTCCAATTAACCACCTAACAGACAAAAGTGGAGCTGTGGCTCAAGTGCTAAAACATAGCCTTGAGCAAAAAAGCTCAGGGACATCACCCAGACCCTGAATTCAAGCCTTAGGACTAGCTCAAAAAACCCAAACCAAACCCAAGAAAAAACAAAATTCAATTTCCCATTGCAAATCCTTATTTTTATACTTTGCTACTCTGTCAAGTGCTGGTGTTCACACCTATAACCCTAACTACTTAAGCTGGGATCTGAGAATAAAGGTTTGAAATCAGCCCAGGCAGGAAAGCCCATGAGACTCTTATCTCCAATTAACCAGTAAAAACCTAGAAGAGATGTAGTCAAAGTGGTAGAGCATCAAACTTGAGTGAAAAAGCTAAAGAACAGGGCTCAGGCCCTGAGTTCAAGTCCTAATACTGGCACTCATGCATGGTCTGTCTGTCTGTCTGTCTGTCTCTCTCTCTCTCTCTCTCTCTCTCTCTCTCTCTCTCACACACACACACACACACACACACACACACACACACACACACACACACACACACACAGTGATAACTTTAAAAAACTGACCTTCCCATCATTTTCTTAAAACATTAAAAAAGATCTGGACTGGCACTGTGGCTCATGCCTATGATCCTAGCTATCCAGGAGGCTGAGATCTGAGAATGGTAATATGAAGCCAGTGTGGGCAGAAAAGTTCATGAAACTCTTATGTCCAATTAAAACCACCAAAAACCCAGAAGTAAAGCAGTGGCTCAAGTGGTAGAGTTTTAGCCTTGATAACAAAAATCTCAGGGACAGCATCTAAGCCCTGAGTTCAAGCCCCAGGACCCAACACACACAGACACACAGACACACACACAGACACACACAGAGAACAGAGACACACATGAGAGAGAGAGAGAGAGAGAGAGAGAGAGAGAGAGAGAGAGAGAGAGGGACAGAGACAGAGAGACAGAGACAGAGAGAGACAGAGACAGAGAGACAGAGACAGAGAGAAACAGAGAAATTATTACCACCACCATTGTTAGAACACTGCTACACTACAAGGGTAAAAGCTGAAGGACAGTGCAATGCTGCAATCAACTGAAAAGAATCAAAGAACTGTTTACCTTCCGATTCTGATCATAAGCAGAATCAATTCCCAAAATGCTGTTAACTTCTACATATGGATATTTCTTCTCCAGGACACTGACCACATGTTCAACCTTTACTTTTTCTCCAGTTCTCACTTTATTATAGATCTGAAGAAAGAAAAAACAGGTAATAAACTACACTTTTAAATCCAAATTTCAAAGTTTATTAAGAAAGATTTCTGAGCCTAGAGGGAAAATATGACTATTGTTCTTTAAAGGGAAATTGAGCAAAACAGCAACAATTCCATTACATTATACTTCATTAAGATGGTTTGGGGGAGGGGGGAGGAGAAGGGAAGGGATGGGAAGGGGAAACAAAGGAGGAGGCAACAATGTATGATAAGAAATGTACTCATTATTGTCCATGTAATTGTAAGCCCTCTACATGGTATTTTCACAATAAAAAAATTAATCAGGGCTGGAAAGGTGGCTCAGTGGTAGAGTGCTCGCCTTGTATGCTTAAGGCCCTGGGTTCGATTCCCCACCACATAAGCAGAAAAAAAAAAGCCGGAAGTGGTGCTGTGGCTCAAGTGGTAGAGTGCTAGCCTTGAGCTGAAGAGCTGAGGGACAGTGCCCAGGCCCTGAGTTCAGGCCCCACGACCGGACCCAAAATAAATAAATAAATAAAAATAATCAACAAAAAAATAAAATAAAATAGAAAAAAAAAGATGGTTTAGGTTGGAAATATTTCTTAAAATAATCTAAGCAGTCATATTAAATGTCAAATGAAAAGAATGCACAAAAAAAAAAATCTGAATCTGAATATAGTGGTATACATCTGTAATCCCAGCACTAGGAAGATGAGGCAGGCCAGCGTGGACTATATAACAAGACACTGCGTCAAAAACCAACTAAAACACAGCACAACAAAAAACAAAATAACTCATGTCTATGATATTTCGGGCAAGCAGTGCTGTAAAGTATGAATGGCATAATCTCTGTTCCACAAAACAGATCAAAAACAAAAGAGAACTGTGTATGTGTATACTTCAACATCTCAAGGATTCAAGGTAACCCTTTAGCAATTCTACCTTTAGGGAAGATCAGGGAAGAGAGAAAGATGTGAGACATATAGTAAATGGGTAGTAAATTGTTGGATTAAAAAAATGTTACTTTTGTAATAAAAATTCAACAAATTAAGTGAAAATTTGCATTCTTTTCTTTCATATACATATCCAAAAGAAAAACAAAACTTTAAAGAGAGTACTTTAAACTACTTATTATGCTGGGTGACTTCCTTTTCTATTTCATTCTCCATAGCCTTACTAACTTCCCATCATTTCTCATGGAGATTATACAACAGCTCACCTCTGCCCTTCCTCAGGCCTCTCACAAGAGTTTGCCTGATGTACTGTGCACCACTGCTCCTTAGCCTAAAAGCCCTGTAGACTAGCTTCCTCCTCTACATAATCTCCTGTTCATCCTGTACTAGCTGGGTTTCATCACCTTTGATTCATAGCCTGTGAAGCTGAGTCCCATGTTTCCTGCTAAACTCAGTGGGGACAACTGCTACCACAAAAATAACACCTCTGCTCACCCAAGGAAGACTGAAGGCTTCAGGCTACCCAGACAGAAGTGTTCTCCATACTCTGTGACACCACCTATTCAGATGTGCTCCCACATGGGTGTGATGTTTTTGAGGATAAGGGGGATATTTCCTTTGTAGAAACTATAGCCAGTACCAGAGTTATACATGGCAGACCTTTAATAAATATTTGCCAAATAAATAAATGAATAAAAAGTGTGCCAAATGATTTTTTTTTGGGGGGAGGGGGGTCCGGTTGTGGGCCTGAACTCTGGGCCTGGGTGCTGTCCCTCAGCTCTTCAGCTCAAGGTTAGCGTTCTACCACTTGAGCCACAGCGCCACTTTTGGCGTTTTTTTTTTCTGCTTCTGTAGTGCTGAGGAATCGACTCCAGGGCCACATGCAGGCAAGAGGCAAGCACTCTACCACTGAGCCACTTTCCCAGCCCCTGCCAAATGAATTTCTAAACCATAAACAACAAATAATAAATCAGACTAACATCCTCTTAATGGGCAAAAGTGGTAAAAATCAATTGCTTGACTTTATAAATTGCATTTATAAAATTGTTTACATTCAAAAATAGAAAAAACAAGAAAACATAATTCTTTGAACTGGAATATGTAAATGTCTTATACATGTGCACAAATCAGGGCATTTCAAAACTCACAATAAAAATGGGGAAATAAAACTGTCGAAAAGGATTTTATAGCTGGGTGCCATGGCTTACACCTGTAATCCTTAACTACTCAGGAGGCTGAGATCTGAAGTATGAAGCCAGTCAAAGCAAGAAAGTTCATGAGACTCTTATTTCCAATTAACCATCAAAAAAGCTGGAAATAGAGCTATGGCTCAAGTGGTAGAGTGCAAGTCTTGAGCAAAAAAGCTCAGAGACAGTGCCCAGGCCTTGAGTTCAAGCCCAGGATTAGCACCAAAAAAAAAAATTAGAGGATTTCATGATATGAATAACAAACTAAGCCCTAATTTTAAAATATCATTAGAAATTCTGAGAGAGGAATGAAAAATAAGTGCTTTTAAAATGGAGAATATCCTATTCATCAAAAGGTATTAAGTAATAATTTCAAACCACAAAGGGGAAAAAGTATAACTTAATATTCTCATCTGGCATCTAAGGAATCTTATCTTAGCTGAAACCATTGTTAGTTAAAATGTAAAAGTATCTCTTTAAGTCTTTAGCCCACTTATTTATTGGGGATGTGTTTCTATGAGGATTTCTTGCTGGGGGATTTAATTTTTTGAGTTCCAAGTATATTTTAGATATGAGACCCTTGTCCGTTGTATGGCTAGTGAAGATCTTCTCCCAATCCATGGGCTTTCTATATTTTTTATTTTTATTTATATTTTTATTGTGAAAATACTGTTCAGAGGGGTTACAATTACATGGGAAAGATAATGAGTACATTTCTTATCAAGCATTGTAGCCTCCTGATTTGTTTCCCCTTCCCATCCCTTCCTGGCCGTCCCCCCCCCCCCCCTCCGCACCAAAGTTTGTTTTCAACATAACAACTTATACATCTCATTGTTGCAATGGGTCCACCTCTATCCCTATTTAAACGATTTGTTTTTCCCTTTCCCCTCCACAAATTATACCAACATCAAATACAGTGAAAGCAGGGGTTATACTGTGGGGGAGGAATATACAAAGCAACAAAGAAATAATCTTATATAAATGTGTTAGAAGCAATCACATGAAAGAAAAAAAACATTTAAAATACATATCTTAAGGTTCATTTCCCTAACATCACCTTATCTGACCTTTTCTGCTTGACTCAGACATATACTAGATATTGCAAATAAGGGAAACCATGGGACCTATGTTTCTTTGGGCCTGGCTTACTTCATTTCCTAACAAATGGGGCAATGTCATTCTTTCTGATGGAGGCATAGAATTCCATTGTGTATATATACCACATCTTCTTGATCCATTCATCTACTGAGGGGCATCTGGGTTGGTTCCATACCTTAGCTGTAGTAAATAATGCTGCAATAAACATAGTCATGCTGGTAGCTTTAGTGTGGTCTTGTTTGTGATCATTTGGGTAAATGCCCAAAAGTGGGATTGCTGGGTCATGGGGAGCTCTATGTGGAGTCTTTTGAGGAACCTCCATACTGCTTTCCAAAGTGGTTGAACAAATTTACACTCCCACCAACAATGCAGTGAGGTTCCCTTCTGTCCACATCCCCTCCAGCATCTGTTGTTTTTAGAGTTCTTGATTTTAGCCATTCTAACTGGGGTGAGGTGCTAGCTCAATGTTGTTTTAATCTGCATTTCTTTTATGGCTAGGGAGGTTGAGCATTTCTTCATGTGTCTATTGGCTATCCTTCTTTTCTCTTCAGAGAAGTTTCTCTTTAAGTCTTTAGCTCACTTATTTATTGGGCAGTTGTTTCTCTGAAGATTTGTTGTTGAGGGATTTAATTTTTTTATTTCAAGGTATATTTTAGATATGAGACCCTTGTCCGTTGTATGGCTAGTGAAGATCTTCTCCCAATCTGTGGGCTTTCTATTGATCTTGCTAGCTATCTATGTCCTTTGCCATGCAGAAGCTCTGCAATTTCATGCAATCCCATTTGTCCAACTTTTCTTTGATTTGTTGTGTTTCTGGGTCTCTATTAAGAAAATTTTGGCCTGTGCCAAGGAAACCTAGGGTTTCTCCTATTCTGTCCTGTAATGTTTTCAGGATATCTGCTTTGACTCTGAGGTCTTTGATCCATTTGGAGTTGATTCTGATGCAGGGTGATATATAAGGATCTAGCTTTAGTTTTCTACAAGTGATTAACTAATTTTGCCAGCACCATTTACTTAAGAGGCTGTCTTTCTTCCATTCTATTTTTTTTAAATCCCTTGTCGAAAATTAGATGGCTATAGATCTCTGGGTTCATTTCTGGGTTTTTTATTCTATTCCATTGGTCCTGGAAGGATGGCCAATAGACACATGAAGAAATGCTCAACCTCCCTAGCCATAAAGGAAAAGCACATCAAAACACTGAGATACCACCTCACCCCAGTTAGAATGGCTATAATCAAGAACTCTAATAACAACAGATGCTGGAGGGGATGTGGACAGAAGGGAACCTTACTGCATTGTTGGTGGGAGTGTAAACTTGTTCAACCACTTTAGAAAGTAGTATGGAGGTTCCTCAAAAGACACATAGAGCTCCCCTATGACCCAGCAATCCCACTTTGGGGTATTTACCCAAATGATCATAAACAAGACCATATGAAAGCTACCAGCACAACTATGTTTTTTGCAGCATTATTTACCATAGCTAAGATATAGAACCAACCCAGATTTAAGTGAAGTAAACCAAGCCCAAAGAAACATAGGTCCCATGGTTTCCCTTATTTGGAATAAACAATATAGGTTTGAGACAGGCAGAAACGGTCAGATAAGTTGATGTTAGGTGAAATGAACCCCAAGGTAAGGAATCAAATGGTTTTTCTTTCTTGCTATTGTTTCTAACATATTTATAAGATGATTTCTTTGTTGCTTTGTATGTCCCTCCCCCACGGTATAACCCGTTTTCACTGTATTTGATGTTGGTATAATTTGTGGAGGGGAAGGGAAAAAACAAATTGTTTAAATAGGGATACAGGTGGACCCACTGCAACAATGAAGTGTACAAGACATTATGTCGAAAAACGAACTTTACAACTTTGGCGTGGTGGGGGGGTGGGAGGGAATGGGAAGGGATGAGAAGGGAAACAAAAGAGGAGGCAACAATGGTTGATAAGAAATTTACTCATTACCTTGCTCATGTAATTGTAACCCCTCTGTACAGTATTTTCACAATTAAAGAAAAGTAAAAGTAATCCCTGAAATTTACAACACTTAAGAGCTTATATGAATAACTTCTTTTAACTTTTCTCCTTACCAGAAATATAGAATCCTCTTACCACATATTGTGTTCTAGACGGAGTTAAGCTAAAAAGTTATTTGCCATTCTGAATAAAAACCTACATGTGCTAGAGTCTGGAAAGCATGATAGCAATCCTTTTCTTGGACAATGTAATTATACGCTCTAAGAACAGCCACTCCAGCATCTTGCATCCCATCAACATCTTCAGAGTCATCAACCACAAAGATAAAACCAATTCTGTAGAAGGGATAAAGAGAAATCAACATCTCAAAGAATGTCAGCAGCCAAAGGGATATTATTCCTGTGGTCTCCTCAGGTATTTTAACTGATAAAAAAATAACTATCCCAAGTGAAGAGCACAGTTCCCATCCTATTCTAACATGTTTGGCCAAGGTATACATACATCATTTACAGAGTACGGGTAGGCTCTCATTATCCTTTAGGCTTTTCTGTCATTAAAGCCAGCTATTTCAGACTCAAGAAAACAAGGGTGTTGTTATTGTTTTACATAGTAATTTTGTTCTTTTTTTAAACAAAAATTAAGAGATGAGAATTTGTAGACTATAAAAAATAAAGGGAAAAGGTGGGACTGAATTTAACAAAAGCAATATCAGAATTATAAGTAAAGTGATATAAAAAATGTGATTGTCTTATAACAAAAAAAAAAACAACAAAGTTTAAAGTAATTTAAAATTTTAAAGTAAAGGAATAAACCGGAGATACCATTACATATCTACAAAGACATGCCAAAGTAAGAACACTTGTACTTGAAAATTATGCTTCCTAAATATCTCAGTCTGTAGTTTTTGGTTTCTCTGATAAGGTACTCAGTACGAGATCTTCTTAAAACTACTGGAGAAGATTCCATCTAAGAAAGTAGGAAATGTGACTTATATGTGCTCATTCACAGCACTTAGCTCAGTGCAGGGTACACATGGTAATGTTTATCCATTAGTGTTCTTTTCCCCTTTATTTTCTTGATTTCTAATTTTTTTTTTTTTTGTTCCAGTCGTGGGGCCTGAACTCTGGGCCTGGGCGCTATCCCTCAGCTCTTCAGCTCAAGGCTAGCGCTCTACCACTTGAGCCACAGCACCACTTCCGGCTTTTTTCTTTTTGCTTATGTGGTGCTGAGAAATCGAACCCAGGGCATGAAAGGCAAGCGCTCTACCACTGAGCCACCTTCCCAGCCCTTGATTTCTAATTTTAAAAATTATAAGAATTATTCCAGAATATAAATATAAATATCTTAATACAAATCTTTAACAACTTACAAACAGTATCCACCAAAACCAATAGTGAAAATCTAGCTACAGAGAGCTCTGTTGGTAGATATGGCAAACGCCAGCATCAATGTGTCTGTCTGTAGCTACAAAAGATCATACAACATTTTATAACATCTAGGCCTTAGCAGCCCAAGCATTACCATACAATTACCCTATAAGTTGTACTATCAAAAACAAATCAAAAACAAAACTTCAGCCTCAATAACTATACAATCAAGTCAACAGCAGTGGTACCTTAGTGGGATGTGATTACTAAGGAACATCTCAGCTGTGTTCATCAACTCAGATGTGCTCTCATGTGCAGGATCAACTATGAAAACCTGTTGGGGGAAAGAGACAAGAACCATGAAGCACATTTATTCTAATATTCCTAGGACAACAAAAATATCATTAGTATTGTACATTAAACCAACCATTTTCTACATAAGAGTTGTGAAATCAGCCAATGCCTCCCTCTGCATTCAAAGAATGTGGTAGTGGAAGGCAAGATGATTTTCTTATGGATTTCTCCTGTTAGCACATGAATCATGATCCAGATTGCCGGCACCTACTCTACTACAAAAAACAAAAACCAAGTTTTATCAACTCTCTAGAAAATAGACTCTTCCTTTTATATACTCACTTCTTACTTCTCAGACCACAGTAACAGCCATTATGTATTAAGCCCTCACTATGTTCTAAGCAACTTATACAAACAAACAAACAAAAAAAAACAGTAGTAATATGAACCTTCTGAGTAAAAAAAGAACTGTTAAAATTTACATAACACTACTATGAGCATAAAACTGCTCTAAAGAAATAAAAGTTTTAAAATACAAAACTGAAAAACCTACAAAGACATAGTCTAAACCTTGGAATTCCAGATGGCTATGTAAGAGTGGCTGAACACTGCTACCTCACTTCCCTAAAGAAAACAACTCATTCCAAGGCTCCCATGTGAGCAGGAGTGCAACTTGGGGTGACAGTGGGGATGGTGAGAGAGTAGTCACTAAAAGAGAGAAGCAAACCCTCTATACACAACAACGCAGGAGAGAACAAGGGAGGACACCTGTGAGCAGAGAGAATAAGGGTTTCCTTACCATGTTGTGCAAGTTTTTTCGGATCTGTCGGATAACACCAGGAAAAGTGGGTCGAAGCAATTCTTGTAGACTAGAAGGCCATGCATTATATCTGCTATCAGTCTCCAAGTTGTTGACCCACTAGAAAAGAGTAATGTAACATGGCACATACACACATTTATCACCAGTTAATGAAACATGAAGTTAATAAAACAGTAAGACTTTATTTTAAGAATCATAAATGGAATAACAGATTTTGGTTACTCAAACCACAGAATAGGTAAAGTTATTCAAAGTCAAGAAAACCAAAAAGGAATAGGATCAAAAATATCAGCTGGGCATCTGTGGCTCATGTCTATAACACATAGCTACTTGGGAGAGCAAGAGCTGAGGATCACAGATCAAAGCCAGCCATGGCAGAAAAATCCATGTAAGACTCTTATCTCCAGTTAACCACAAACAGAACAAAACAAAACAAAAACAGAAGTACTGCTGTGGCTTGAGTGGTATAACATTAGCCTTGAGCAAAAAAAAAAATCTCAGGGGCAGCACTTAGGCCCTAGGTGCAAGCCTTAGGACTAGCATGCGTGCACACACAAACATGCACAGAAACAATGTAGTATCTATAGAAAGAATGGATAAACAGCATGATCCTATCATATGTCTATAAGTAGATTTCCTTACTTAGGTATATGTCTAGTATTTCTAGAAGGATACCCAAGTGTTTTTTCTGTTTTTGTTTTGTTTTTTTTTTGTGCTGATCCTGGGGCTTAAACTTGGGGCCTAGGTACTGTCCCTGAGCCATTTTTGCTCAAGGTTAGCATTCTTCAACTTGAGCCAAAGCTCCACTTCTGGCCTTTTGGTAGTTAATTAGAGATAAGAATCTTGGGGATGGAAGGTATATATCAACTGGTAGAGGACTAGCCAATGAGCAAAAGTGTCACGTACCAAGTTCTAGCTTCAGTCTCTGAACAACAACAACAAAAAAGAATTTCATGGACTTTTGTGCCTGGGCTGGCTTCAAACAGTAATCCTCAGATCTCTGCCTCCTGAGATAGAAGTAATCCTAAATCACTTGGATTACAGTTGTGAGGCACTCAGGTCCATATGTTGTATTTCTTTAAAACAAGTCTGACCTCAAACTTAAGGATCCTCCTGAGTCCATCACAACACCCAATCCTAATTAATTGTTAATGATTGTCACCTTTAGGGAGAAAAGTGATAACTAAGGAGATTTTTTTCACTATATACCTTCTATACATTTTAAATTTTATGCTATGAAAGTACAAAGGATTTTCTCTTAAAAAAGTGAAATATTATATATAATAACCTATCTGTAGGTATCAACCTACAAAATCTTTAAAATTCTGTTGAATAAAAAGAAAAGGTCTTACATGATTTTGTGACAACATGCATAATTTAAAACTCTTAAAATACATATTCTTAGTTAAGAGCATTATTTAAAAGGCTATTGCAAATAATTACCTATGATCCCTAAGTCACTGACACTTGTAAAGAGAATGAAAGAAGTGATGCATGCCTGCAGTGCCAGCATTCAAGAGGCTATATTGGGAGGATCTTGAGGGCAAGTCCAGCTGGAGCTACAGAATGAGACATTTCAAGAACACAAACCAAAACTAAACAAAATGGAAGAGAATGTAGGGATTGGCATCATCGTGGTGGTCATCGTTTGTTGAATATGAAAAGAAATTGATGTGGGATACCAATAGACCTCTAGACTATCTAACTATTTAAAATATTTAACAGGAAATAATAAGTGATGGAGCAATGTGTACCAACTCCCAGAGGTATGACTTGCAGGGGAGGAGGTGTAACTAACTGGTAAGGAATATAAAGAAGGCTTCAGCTAAAACATTTCTTTTCCCAGAAAAAAAACAGACTTGACACAAAATGATTTTTTAGTAAGAATGGTGATGGGACATGTGGTTTCTAAACCTGTGAATGTAGAAATATGTCATACTTATCCATTCCCGTTAATCTGTATACATAAAACTATTTTAGCAGAAAAAAAAACAACAACAACACTATTTACCAAAATGTGTAACAGGCTGGGCTCTGGTGGCTCATACCTGTAATCCTAGCTACTTGGGAAGCTGAGATTGATTGTGGTTTAAGACAAGACCAAGAAAAAAAAAAAAGTTCATAATATATCTCAATCCAGATCAGGGTCCAGTAACATGCTCCTGTTACCCTAGTTACAACAGGAAGCCTAAAATAGATGCTAACCAGGTACATGTCAGCTTAGGTAGAGACCCTATCTCAAAAGTAATCAGTGCCAAGTGAAGTAAGCTCAGAAAGACAAATGGTACACATTTTCTCTCATATGTGGAAACTATATATCTAAAAGACAACTAGGCATGATAACATATACAAGGCTCAATCCATTTATACACAAACTGACCAAAGTAGGGTATACTTTGTAACTCTTCTAAAGTACTGTTTATCAAAACAAATACCAGGAAATAGGAATATGTTTTGGAGTAAGGGGACATAGGAATGGAGGATGAGTAAGCAAATGCAATCATTGTATTTAATGTACACTATGTAAAAAGTGAACTGTAGTAGGGCACTAGTAGCTCATGCCTGTAATCCTAGCTACTTGGGAGACTGAGATCTGAGGACTGCATTTTGTAGCCAGCTGGGTAAGTCCATGAGACTCTTATCTCCAATTAACTTTAAAAAAAAGGAAGTATATGTGTGGCTCAAGTAGTAGAAGTGGGGGGCTGGGAAGGTGGCTCAGTGGTAGAGCGCTTGCCTTGCATGCATGAGGCCCTGGGTTCGATTCCTCAGTACCACATAAGAAAAAAAGCCAGAAGTAGCGCTGTGGCTCAAGTGGTAGAGCACTAGCCTTGAGCTGAAGAGCTAAGGGACAGCACCCAGGCCCAGAGTTCAAGCCCCACAACCGGACCCAAAAAAAAATAAAAAGAAAAGTAGTAGAAGTGGTATAGCACTAGCATTGAGCACAAAAGCTCAAGGATAGCACACAGGCCCAGAGTTCAAGCCCCAGAACTGGCACAAAAAAAACAAAAGGAACTATGGAACTTGTGGGTGGGTATGAGAGGGGGAAAATTGGGGAGAACAAAGAAAGGGGCAACATTGTCCGAGAAGTCTTTACTCATATTCTGACAAGGAATTGTAACCTTTTGTACAAATACTTAATAATAAACATTACAAAAAAATAATCAGTGCAAAAAAAGGTGGGAGGTGTGACTTAGCAGTGACAGTGTGATACGGCAAGAGCCAGGTCCCGAGATCATACTCTAGAACTGCCCCACCCCCCCTCCCAAAAAAAAGAAAATGGTGTAAAAGTTGTATCACCAAGTGATCACTCAAGTGATGATAACCTACAGTCTACATTATTTCTCTCAATAAAATTTCTCTAAAATAAGTGAGGTTTAGAAACCAAAGGATAGATGCCGAGAGTGAGCTGGCCGCATCAACTCTACAACCATCTCATCTTTGCCATGACCACCCATGATGGTACTAGTCCTCACACTCTCTTCACAGATGACAAAGGCTCAGAGATAACACACAGCAGACAAAATTTAAAGTCCTTTTTAGCCTGGTTATTAACTTAAAAATTATATTTTAATAGCAGCTTCAAATTATACACATTGCCACAAAAATCACACAAACAAAATACTCTTTCCCAAGATACTCAACTGAAACCTAGGAGTACAACCACTAGAAAAATTGTTTTCTCAATACTATTAGCTATAATTATTAACTTTAAGAACCAAAAATATGATAAACACATAGACTCACATAAGCAGTTATAAATCTTTGATGGCAACAAGGGAGAGAGAGATAATTCTACTTCATGTTAACACAAATTAGATACCTATAAGGAAGATGCCCAGGCCAGAATGCCCCTGACCCATTACTCACCAATACAGCAGGACTCCTGATGTCTACTGCATAATCTGCCTCAGAAGGCTGGATGTTCAGCTTCAAAATATTATGCAGAGAAAGGCCTTCTATGCCTAGTCTGTGCAGACCCTCCATTACCCGGGCTTCATTCCTCAATATATCAAACAGACTGGGGGAGGATAACAGTGGTTAGTGGAGATTTGAAAATTAGTCTGGTGGTAGAATACTTCCTGGCATAAGTAAGACCTTGAGTTTGATCCATAACACTCCCTAACACACACACACACACACACACACACACACACACACACACACACACACACACACACACACACACACACTAATCTAACAATATTTAGCAGAAAAACTAAAACATCCTCACTATGGAAAAAATTGTCAAAGTTCAAACTCAATGCCAAACCCCAGCAGCAGAGAAAACAAAACAAGGTGCTCTTGTCCTTATTTTATCTTGTCAGAGTACACAGGACAGAAGGGCATGCATCTTGGTTTCTATTTATGCTCTTCAGTGAATACAGAAATAGAGATTTAGGAAGAAATACTCATTAATCTACACGTATAGTCCATGTTTTCAAAAGCAATGGATTGTTCTCTATATTATGTGTTAAAACAACTTACTGTAAATCCTAATTATCTCAAAAAAAAAAAAATCTCAAGTAACATACCAGTAAGCTCAAGCCTATAACCCTAGCTACTCAGGAGGCTAAAAACCCAAAGGATGGAGGTTCAAAGCCAGCCATGGCAGAAAAGTTCAGAAAACTCCATCTCCAAAATAAATAGCAAATTATAGGGCTAGAGATGTGGTTCAAGTGGTAGAGCACCAGCCAAGCAAGCAAGCTGAGCAACCTCTAGGCCCTGAGTGGTGTCTAGTACAGCCAAAAAGAAACACTATATTGCAAAGCCCTGGGTTCAAATCCCAATAACATATGAGAAAGAAACAGAGAGAACATTATATGAAAACACTGCACATGCATAATATACAAGTCAATATCAGTATTAGTTTACAAACAGACAAACATACAACCACAGAAAAGTCTGCTGGGGAGGCAAAAAAGAAATGAAAGAGAGAAACAAACAGAAGATGGATTGAAACTATTTTTTAGTTCAAAACCTTTACATACTCTGAAAACATAAAGATTATGTAAAAACAGATTATATGTTTTAAATAATTCATTCAATAAAAACACCGAAGGACAATCTTTTAAAGTATCCACATCTTTTAAAGTATCCACATCCATTTAACCAAATTACCATGGCTGTTTAAAGCACTAAATGGGCATAAAAGCCTAATTAAAATAATTCATGTGGAAATACCTTACCTATAAAACCACTTCTCCTTAAGTACTAGCAACTGCTTTTGTTTTTACCTTAAAAAGCTAGCATCAACTACAGGAATTATTACTCCAAGGACAAAATATGAATTCTACCTGACTGTCCACTTCCCCCAAATCATGAAGATAATTTGTGCTAACAGGAACAACAAAAATAGTAGGTACGGGGCTGGGGAGGTAACTCAGTGGTAGAGAGCACTTGCCTTGCATGCCTGAGGTCCTGGGTTCGATTCCTCAGCACCACATAAGCAAAAAGGAAAAAAAAAAGCCGGTAGTGGCGCTGTAGCTCAAGTGGCAGAGCACTAGCCTTGAGCTGAAGAGCTGAGGGACGGCGCCCAGGCTCAGAGTTCAGGCCCCACAACCGGGCCCCCCCCCCCCCCAAAAAAAAAAAAAGACAAAAACAGTAGGTACTCAAATAATAATACTTTGAGACCCCAGAGAAAGCTTTGTAAATAAACCTAGTTCATCCTTCCCAGAAGCACAAGAAACCTGCTCTATTCTATCTCTAAAATTGGCAGGGCAACTAAAGCTCTTGGGAAAACACTTAAGCTTCACATCCACACTGTGATACGAGATGATGAGGGATCATGCTGTGGTCCCCACCATAGCACAGGCCCACTTCCAGACACTCAGTGAAACCATCAACTTTGACTTATGCCACATCAAGGAATAATCAACCTGAACACATGAAAAGGTGCTATGCGTTATTACAAAACCTCATAAAAAGAAAAATATTATCCGCACCTGAATATATCCTGGGTATCTAAATCAATATGAAGTCCGTTGATAAAAAGAGCTGAATCTCCGGGCTGTAATCCTAAAGTTCCCTTGAAATACTAAAAGACAAAAAAAAAAATATATATATATATATATATATATATATATATGATAGATAGATATTACATAGCATATATATAAACATAGTTAGAGTATATTTAACAAAACTTTCTTGTTTCTGGGCTTTACTGTCTATATGAATTCTGACATTCTAGGCTAGATTAAGATTTCCTTCTATATTCTCCTACAGGCTGTTCTCAGCATAGACTACATTGAATGGAGCTGTTGGCTTACAGGATAAACACCTTCTTCCCTTTTCTCCTTCCCTCATTCTGAGGATATTTTCTACAATGTCAGGGGTAGAACGGTAAGTCAAGAGTTAAATCATTTTCAAATATAAGAACATAAATAAAATAGGATGAACTAAACAAATATTGTCTCTAATTAATATCCCTAATTTTTAAAACAACATTCATCTCATGATTCATTTCGGTATTGTACTCTTTTGTTGTCCTTTTGCAACAAAACTTTGTATGCGCCTGGGACAATAGGGTAGGGGACCAATCTTTTATATTCCATCTTCAGTTACATAAAATGATTGGGCCAAGAGGGGAGAGGCAAGTCCTTCAGTGACAACATGCTGAAGCTTCTGCTGAATAATATCCTTCACACTCAATTCCTCTCCCCCTACCCCTGGAAAGAACTGTTAACTGTTCCTTGTATATCCTATGTCACAGGGCAATACACTTCCGAGTAGAGAACATAAACTAATCAGGTACCAGGAAAAGAACTTAATTCTCTAGGAGCCCAGAAGTGGAGGAGAGAAGACAGAGCTCTACTCCTCAGTAGTAGCTAAGAAAAAAAAATTCTTTTAAGACTGATATTGCATAGGAGGGGGAGGAAAAAAAAAGACACCCAATGGGGAATCCATAGCTCTTATACATGAGCACATCAGCATTAAATGGCAAATAAGGCAAGGGAATTAAGATACCATGTGGTACACCACAAGTAGGTATCTGTCACTTAAAAAATAAAAAAGACAAGAAAATGGCAGAGTCACATCAATTGAAAACTGGAATTTCTTGCAGGGGAGGAAAGAACTCCCTAGCCACATCCCATTACCCCTCAGAGAGAAGGAAAGACTAATTCTGAACTGGTAAATATAACTCATATGTACTTCTAATAGGATGCTAAATAGATGGACTCAATTTGGGGGAACTCACCTCACTACAGATTTAGGATCTGTAAATATTTTTAAGTGTTTTATATCCTATATGTATTTTATGGAGGGGGGGTGGAAGGGGTGCTTTTTATTGCCACTTAAGCCACCTCTACTTCCAGCTTTTTCCTAGATAACTGGAGATAAGAACCCTATAACTGGAGATAAGAATCTAGGCAGATTTATCTGCCCAGGCTGCCTCTGAACCATGATCCTCAGATCTCAGCCTCTGAGGAGCTAGAATTTTAAGAGCCACCAGTGCCCAGTTTATATTGCACATTTTTATCTAAATATTTTACTCAAAAAATAGTAATAAAAGCTGGGTGTCAGTGGCTTATGCCTATAATCCTAGCTACTCAGGAGGCTAAGATGTGAGGATCATGGTTTGAGGCCATCCCAGGCAGTAAAAAGTCTATGAGACTGTTATTTCCAATTAACCACCAAAGGGGGGGAAAAAAAGCCAAAAGTGAAGCTGTGGTTCAAGTGGTAGAGTGCTAGTCTTGAGCAGAACAGTTCAGGGAGAGGACCCAGGCTGTGAACACACACACACACACACACACACACACACACACACACACACACACACACACAATTCTACAAATACACACACACACACACACACACACACACACACACACAGAATTCTACAAATATTGAATAGCTTATAGGATTTAATTCTCTGCCTGCCTGGTGTTGTGAAATTATAAACTATGAAGTTTTTATTTGTAATTTAGTGAATACTAAACATTTGGTCAACTTATCTCTCCATTCAATTTAACTAACTAGTATTTGACTGAAGAAGATAAAGGGAGGGGGAGGAGATGGGAGGGCAGGGATGGGAAGAGGAAACAAAGGAGGAGGCAACAATGCTTGATAAGAAATGTACTCATTACCTTGCTCATGTAATTGTAACCCCTCTGTATGATATTTTTACAATTAAAAAAGTATTAATTTTTTAAAAAAGATAAAGGAAATCAGGGGATGAAGATCATGAACTGAATACACACATTTATTTTTAACCCTACTGAAACTCTACTGAAATGTTACTCTTGTTTAGAAACCCACAGGGCAAAGAAAACAGAAAATAAAAAAGGTCAACAATATTTGGAAGCTGAAAAGCAAAGGAATAATAACTATCCCATTAATACCAGGAAAGCTGGTGGCTAGGATGAAAGTAGAAAAAGTCAGCAAGAATCCCAAAGCACCGAGGAGAGTTCTCAAGATGGCGACGGGGCAGTAGGGAAACGCCACAGCTCTCTCCAACCAAAAAGAGAGTTCGAGTTCCAACCTTTAATCTCCCCAAGAGACCGACAACAACAAAAAGACGAACACTCAGAGAAAAACCAGAGGTGGAAAATAACAAAAAAAGAAAGAGAGGAAAAGAAGAATTTCAGAACAGAGAAGAGCGAAGACCCCTCCCCCAACCTTTACTGGCCACGCGGCAGTGCGCCAAGCCGCCGGCCAGCCGGCCCGGCAGGGGCTGCCGGAGCCACAGAGACACAGGGGGCTGCTTGCAGATCACCAGGTACCGGATTGCAGAACAGCGGATCGCCAGGAACAGAGAAACCTACCAGCCGGGAGTCTCCAGGAGGATCCCACCCCACCCCACCCATCACTCTCCACCGGAGCGGAGAGGCTCCATCCCGCCAAAGCCGCCCGGCACCAGCAGCGCCACAAAGGGACCTGTCCGCAGACCACCCGCCCAATCGCGATCGCAACGACCCGGCGGGGGGCCGCCCAACCCAGCCCGCAACCACCCCAACTGAACTCGGACTGCAACAACAACTGACGGACTGCAACAACAACTGACGACCTACAGGGTGAGTACCCATCAGGGGACAGGGAATCCATCAAGGGAGACCAGAGCTGGAGGGAATCCCCAGACCCTGACCTAGACTCCCTACCCCAACACCCGGACCACAGGACCCACTAAAACTGGGAACTGTTCGAGAGCCCCACCAGCCGGTGGAGCACACTCTGCTGGCCAGGCCAGAGCAAGAGCGCCCCGGGAAGGGAGCTTAAATGCTCAAGCCAGGAACAGTGCCCCTGGGTCAAGACTACCAACAGTAGAAGAAATTTGAACTGTGTCCTCCAGGCTGCATAACCAAGGTGGTATACACATTAGCACAGGCCTAACGAGCGCGCTCCAGGCTGGGGCCGGAACCAGGCCAGGGGACCGGCGCCTGAACAAACAAAAAGGGTCAGAAGTGGGGCTGTGGCTCAAATGGTAGGGTGCCAGCCCTGAGCTGAAGAGCTGAGGGACAGCACCCAAACCTAGAGTTCAAGCCCACAACCAGCCCAAAACAAACAAACAAAAACACATCAGGAGCCCATAGCAGACTCCAGTATTTGGGAGAGTGCATCCAGAGCATCTGATCTTCCCAAGAGCACCCGCAGGAGCAAACACAAGCAGTCTAGGCTGCTCAACCCTTCCAAAGGCGGGAATTGCTACAGCAGAGAGCTGAGAATCCTAAGTGAATAGCAGCTGGAAATAGGCTCCCAACAGAATCCAGATCAGACACAGACTCTCTCTACCAATAGAGAATCAGCAACCAAGCAAAGACAGACACACCAAAACAAGATTGAAGAGCAGTCTCCTGAACCCCCATGCGAAAATCACAGAGAAAAATCACAAGGTTTACCACTACCCAGGACAGCAAGCTCACCTCAAAAGCCAGCAGCCACGCAGGGGAGAGCCCCAGTGGGAGCAAAGCAGGAATGGAAGACAAAAACTACATCCAAGGGTTGCTGGAGGCAATGACTCAAGAAATAAAGCGAGAAATGGATCAGAAATTGAAAGAGCACAAGGATGAACTATCAAAAGATATACAGGATATCAAACAAAAATTGGATGCAAAAATAGAAGCTGCACAAACCTCAGTAGAAGTGAGATAAACGCCAAATTAGAGGTAATGCATACTGATATCACCTCATTGAGAGGTGAAATCAGTACTCTGAGAACCAACATTGAATCCATAAAGGGATCCATTTCCACCATGCAAACCACAATAGAAGCCACGGTCAACAGAGTGAATGAAATGGAAGGTAGAGTGTCAGATACAGAAGACAGAATACACCAACTGGACCAAAAAGTGACAGATATGGAAAAATCACTCAAATTAAACCAAAGGGAAATTCAAGAGCAAGCAGATAATGCTAAAAAATTTAACCTTCGCATAATCGGAGTGGACGAAGGTGAGGAATTCCAGAGCAAGGGAATGCAACACCTATTTAACAAGATAGTCAATGAAAATTTTCCCCACCTCAAAAACGACCATCTTAACTACATCACAAAAGCTTATCGAACACCCAACAAGCAAGATCCCAGGAGAAACACTTCTAGGCACATAATAGTAACAATGATGGATCTGAATAATAAGGAAACAATCCTGCATGCAGCAAAAATGAAGAAGGAGCTATACTACAACGGGAAAAAAATTAGAATCACTGCAGATCTCTCCACACAAACAATGAATGCAAGAAAAGCCTGGGAAAGCACCATACGAGCCCTGAGAGCCAATAACTGCCAACCCAGACTGATATACCCGGCAAAGCTAGCATTCACATTCGATGGAGAACTGAAAACTTTTAATAGCAAAGAAAAACTAAATGAATACATAAACATTAAGCCAGCATTACAAAGAATTCTAAGAGGGGGGACACAACCTGAAGAAAGCAACCAGGAACTGGGACCTGCCCCAAACAGGCATTACTCAAAGTCTAACTGAGCAAGCACAGGAGGAAAGGAAAGAAGAAAAACTTAGGAAAACGGAATGGCAGGGACAACAATGCATCTCTCTATACTTTCTCTTAATATAAATGGGCTGAATTCGCCAATTA